CAGCAGGAAAAAACAAATCCATGTAATTTTGTCTATTTCAGATTACATCTACTGCACACTAACAGCTTTTTCTGGAGTCTTTCACTGCAAATAGACAACAAAAGAGCTGCTTGGCCCCTGTGGGAAGTTTTGTTTACCCTTCTTTGACACTTTTAGATGGCAGCTGTTCTTAAAATTGGCTGTAGAGATGGTTTACATCACATTTGCCATCTTTCAGAGATGCTAAATCTAGATGTGCCTAGTTTAAATGCAAAAAAAACCAAATCTTTTTCTAATTGTCATGTTCAGTCAGTAACGTTAGATTCAAACTGTTCTCTTCTGTTCCTCTGGCAGCAAAAGTAATAAGAACTCGGGGCAAGGTAAATTGTGCCCTTCACAATTCCTGTGTAACTGGGTTTTTAACCACTCCAAATGTAACCTAGGAAACCACTTGGCCCTGCCTTTGTGGTTTAGTTGACAATTCCATTGGCATTATATGAGCTAGCACAGAATCCAGCTTACTCTGCAGTAGCTGTTTTAGCTGTACAATACTAAAACGAACCATTTTTTATATTTGTTAAAAAAGCAAATGAGACAGCGACAGTACACAAGCAGCAAATATGCTGAGTAAGAACATGTAATTTTTGGTCATTTTTATTTTAATTAATTTGTAAGCTGAGAACAATTAAAACATAAGTGGGGCATGAACAAATGTGTGAGGACTTCCTGTAGCATCTTTTCTAGCATCTTGTCAAGACTAGGGCAACTACTGAACATAATTCCCTGCATCATGGTTTAGTTGATTCTAAGGGTACTTCCTCAATTTCTTGCTTCTGCTGATCAGGTAATCACTCTCTGAGTACAAAGTTGAAAAACAAATTCATACTGACTGCCCTAAGTGTCTGAGTAAAACAGATAAGGTAGCACTTTGCTGCTTTATCATTTGTAATTTTGGAAACCCAGCTTTGATCTTGGTTTGTACCTTAAACAAATATTCATAATATAGTATCTTAGAGCTAAAATAAATACTTTTTTTTCGTAAGCAGTTTTCCATGCTGTGGCTGTAAAAATGTCTTTTTGCACAAATACAGATTAAGCTACCTGCTCTGTTAAGTTGTCCAACCCTTTCAGCTTTAGAAACTGATTTTTTTTCCCCCAGTTAACTGGATGTAACCTAAGCAATGTTGTCTTCCTCACTCTGATAAATGCCCAGTTCAGTGCCAAAAATCCAGGTCCACTGCCCCTCTTAGGCACTAAAACTTCCCATTTTCCTATGCTACTGCATACCTCTTTACAATATAGTAGTATTTTAAATATAATGTCAAACACTAGACTAATGAGCTGCTACAGAAATGTAGTCATAGAAATTTACTGTGAACATATATTTGGTACCATGTAATTTTCATCATGTTATTAGCTAACATGAACCTTCTTTGTTGTTTTTTAAGTTTCTGTCCAGTGGTATTGTAGAAAACCTGCAGGCTTTCCAGGCTGATGTGTAGTCTGCAGCTTTTAAAGTTACGTTTATTTTAACTTCTCAGTATTTAGAACTGTCACAATCTGTTCTTTGCCTAGCTGTTGAAACTACTTAGAATGGATTACAGAAGCAGCAAGTGACTTGAGTTCAAAAAAGATAGAAACTGCTTTTGCTTTCACTGGAGAAAGGGATGATTCTGATAGCATCAAGTATCAAAACAGGTGAGAAAGTGGAAAAATCTGAAAGTTTTGCACTTTGCACTTAATGAGCATTTTTTTTTTCATAATTACTCTTCACTTAATGAGCATTAGGGCTGTGCAAAGTTTCGGGTGGTGATTCAATTCAGAGGAGATTTGGCCCAATTCGGTGGCTGAATCTCTGAATCCGAATCTAATCAGGGGAACAGTTTAAAGGTCTGAATTGATTCAAAGCTCTCTGAATCTTTGGCAAAGATTTGAAGAGCTTTGATGATTTGGGCAGTCCCTGGTGGCTGCAGCAGGGAGCTGCAGCTGACTCCATGCTGGTAAGTACTAGGGGTGGGGGAGGGGACCATGTGGCAACCCCTGCCAATCCCCCTGCCTGCTCCCCCAGCCCCCCATGGTTGACCCCACCCACCCCAGCTCCCAGTACTTTA